CATCCATTCCTATGCTTCCAAATCCACCAAGCTACCAACACGACCAAAGAATGGAAACCCTTGCAAGGTTGTCCAACCACTTGCTGCCTTGCTTGGCGCCACCAATCAGTTGGCCCTGGAGTGTGCTGTTGTAACCCAACCAAGGATAGCGCAGAGAACCAAACTTCTCTAGAGAACACGCATGCACTGAGCAAGTGTTGTATGGTTTCCTCCTCCTGGTCACAGAGCGTGCATTTTTCCGGGTGAGACCTCGACGAGCCAATCGATCAGCAGTCAACATCGATTTAGAGAGGCCAGCCAAATGAAAAATTTGCAACGAGGTGGAGCCCAAGTTTCCAAATTTCTTCCCATGGCTCAAAACCAACAGCCCCTAAGAAGAAATGACGATAGGCTTATTTGGTCGTGAGCTCTCCCAAAAGATATGGCATCAAATCATAATTTTCCACCATCCTTCTATTTCTTGCCACTCTCCTAAGGCTAGCTAACCTTGTTGTATGAGTGACTATAAATGATGACTATATATGACATGGGAACATTATATAGCCAGCAGTTGGCTATACTATTAACCATGCTCTGAGCGGGCTCAGCCTTGCTGGGGTGGTCATGCCTGGATCTTGGTGACGTGGGGCGGGATCAACCTCACACCTCGACTTGACGGCATGGCAGGATAAGCCTCGCGGGCTGATCCCTCCTGGATCTTGGCGACATGCGCAGGGTCAGCCTCGCCAAAATATTCCTGCCTGGCTTATCGATGCGGGCCCGGTCAGCCGTGCCAGGCTATGATCCGGCCTGGGGCCCTATAACCCCTACACCATCATTTGCCCCTGCAACTCAGTTGCTAACAAAAAGTGTAATCAATTACAACAACGTCGAACCTGTTCATTTATGTCAATTCGGGATGGGGCAGCGGCCCTCTCGCACAACACTCTGATTCTATGGAGTGGGACCCCAACTTTAGAAATGGATATTGCCTAATATGTGGCTGCGAACCAAAAACATGCCTACCTCAGTCAAACTTAGCTAACATGGAGTGTGGAAAAGTGAGGCAAACCCAGTGACCAATCAAACAAGCGCTAAGAGTCTTGATGTCATTTAAATCCTTTCTGAGCCAAAAGCCTAGCCATGGCCGTGCCTGAAAGTAGCAAGTGTGCAGCCGCCTCTGTTTTGTGTGAATTTTCAGTATCTTTACCTAATATTAGAGGAAGGATTGTTTCTCCACTTTTTTTCGTCATGGGGTCCTTTTGTATTGCCCGTTAATTTTTTCGTCCGTCATCTGCACTGGATTTTTGCCAGTCGTTCGCGCGTACAGCGTACGAAATAGAAAAAAAGGAAAAGCGGCCGGGTGGGAGTCGTACAGCGTGCGAAATAGAAAAAAAGGAAAAGGAGCCGGGTGGGAGTCGAACCCCAGAGCTCCGGCCTTGCAACAAGGCCCAAGGCCAATTGAGCTAGCTCTCAATTGTGATGGAAAATAGAGTTAGCCACTACTTAATATCAACAAACTTATGGACCCTCTGTCCTGCACATGGACCGATATTGGGCCTGGTCTGAAGCAAAAAATAGTTATTTCTGCGGGAAGGACAAAGCCAACTGAACTGGCTTACAATTGTGTTAGGAAAACAGCGGCCTTTCTAAATTAGTTAGTCTCGCATCGTTTTTTTTACATCAAATAAACAATACTATGACAGCGAGGTTAATTGAAAAAGTACACCGGTGTGGGCTTTGGTACTACACATGGGATATTTTATCCCACAACTTATAAAATGAACAAGCATGGAATTATAGGCACACAAGTTTGCTGCTGAATATGATTTTCAATTATTAAAAATCTGTACAACATCAGAACACTTCTTACTTACAGATTTGGCTAATTATTGTGATTTTATATTATCCTATGAAATGTTATTTTATCTGATGAATAGTAATATTATTCCATGCCTAAAATCATAGTTTGGAAATCTATCTTTTTGCTATCTCATTTTCCCTTAGTTGAAAAGACAATCGATCACCCCTGCTCTATTGTATATATTTTTTCGTGCGTGTCATTACGTGAATGTATATATTTGATAATTTATGTAGAAACCTATGTTTTAATGTATGAACTTTGTATACTCTACACCAGGTATGAGGTAATATCTACATTTCTAAAGGGCCAGTGCATTGTTGTAAAGTTTTCCATTAAAGTGATTGTCAAATTTTATTTTGTATTCAATATTTGCTTAAGCTATCTCATAAAGCTATTGTAGATGTGCCTTGGTACTCTGCCTTGGTACTACTACAATACACAGACGGTTTTTCGAGATTGTTACCCGGTAGACACATTTACCAACCACCCTCGGACAAAAACAAAACTGAAATAATGTAAATTTAAACATTTCTTACAACATGAGGTAACCTCCATCGTTCAATATCCAATCAAGACGAGCAACCCCAGCTAACATAAACTTTTTTAGAGAGTCATCGAAAGATCGCGCGGTAGAGAAAGAGAGTCGTTCTAAGATGATGCAGAACACAGAGACATATATGTAGGGTGGAGGAAGGAGTAATTCAACAGTAAAAAAGGCCGGCATTGTCACCTGATGTATGTGATAGTCAAAAATATATGTGATACACACAATTGATATCGAATCATAAAATATGTATCCTAAAGATATGTCACACAAAATTGATATTGTGCAATAGAATATGTATGCCCCGTTGCAACGCACGGGCATTTGTGCTAGTTACCACTAAAGCTGGAATGCCATAAATATAACATTTTGAGGCCCAAAATCGCGATAGAACCATTAGTCTGCAATTTAAAGCAGTGTTGTTCAGGTTGTTTCATTTTGAACTCTGCGCTGCAAACTTTGTTTCTCACACATGCCTGGGAGTGTCATTTTTTTCTGAGAGAAAGGAAGTGCATCACTTTTTTTGAGAGAAAGGAGGCGTGCCATTTTCATTAAGAAGAAAACACTAAGATAGCATGAACAACTAAAATACAAGTATATACAGTATGAGCACTGCATCCGTCAACTGCGAGATCAAGAGTCATCCTCACCAATTGACCTATGACCACAATGACAGGAAACTCGCCTTGCCCAGCCTCTAGCAAACTCCTCTCCTAATAGAGAATTTTAGCCTAAAAATTCCCTACTAAGCATCTTATGCTAAAGTTATTTGCATGTTTTATCTTCAGGGACTATGGCTTCGTCTTCTGAGACTTGGGGCAACTGAGGATCCCCTTTCATCATTCGAATATGGAACCATTCTTGGTATCTTGAAGTTTCAGTTTATACTATATTCTGTCATTGTGTAACACATTTATCTATATATGTCTTACTTGCCCAACATGATTTCTGTTGCCTTTTTGCAGCCTTGATTGAGTCTGATGCAGAAGGCATCGGAGGGAGTGGCTTTGTTGAATGCATCAGAGAGCACATTCATTCTGTAATCTGAATCTTATAACTACATAGTGCATACCTTGCTACTTTCTGATCCACTTCATAAGTAACTTTTCTACCTTATAGGGTTGGCAATGCCGCTTGACTGATGAGCAGTTTATTGCTGTAAAAGAACTGGTGAGTCTTATTTCTTATTCCATAGCCCCACTTTCTGCATGGTATAAGTACTGGTTCTTGCAAACAGTTTTTCATGTTCAAGGCGGTGATTGCCATGATATTTAGCTGGTCACTAAGATGTAGGTATGTGGGCAAACTAGTTGTGCTAACTCATCACTTATAATTTAATTGCTATGAAAATTTGACTTCTGTATCAGGTGGTGGTGGGTACTGCCTTTATAAGCTTATAAAATTATAATGCTATATTTGTGCCGATGTTTTCAGTAGAAATCGTACCCAATTAATTATCACTTCACTACTATGGAAGTTACGCCTAGCTTCTTTCTTTACAAGTTTATGAAGCTTGCATTTTGTGTGTGTACATGCAGATCTATCAATATGCTTATCTTCTTTTCTCTGTCGTGTCGATTCTTGCAAAGAATCTCATCATTCTCTCTTCATGCAGCTTAAAACGGCTATAACTCTTGCTAGCTCTCGCGATGATGTGTCAACCATTAGAGATGCTCTTGAAGTTTCTGCTGAAATGTACAGGAAGGACCCAAACAATGTTCAAGACTATGTCCAGCGTCATCTGTTATCCCTATCAGTCTGGGAGGAGCTTCAGTATGTCGTTACTAGCATGAGATAATTCGTTCTTAAGTTAAGATTAGTTTCCAAAGGTGCAATCCATATGCCATGTCATTGTCTAATCTAAAAGTGTTGCTACGTCGACCGTGAACAGCACATTAGCTTGTCATGCCATGCAGCTTTGTTTTGAAATAAGCTAAGCGTGTGTGTGTGCCTGTCATGTCATTGCAGCTTTGTTTTGAAATAAGCTGAGGGTGTGTGTGTGTGGACTAAAATATAACTTTGGGGCTTCAATTGACAAATAGCGTGTAGGTTCTCATAAGTAAAAAAAATAAGGCAATCCTGAAAAGTGAGGAGAATCAAAATAAGTTACATGAAATTCAAACAAACATTGTCTATCGCCAGCAGCATGATTACTCATCGGCCTGTGTGGATCACAGTCTCCAGAGTAAGTTCTAAGTTTATCAGGTGGATCACACCCTTCTTAATAGATGGGAGATCCATTCTCCTTTCTTCTGTTTGTTTAGGTTTATTGCCATGTGTTCATTTGTGTTTCTAATAGGTTCATTACCATGTGTAATTTTAGTCATTCAGTGTCCATCTAGGGTTAGAGTTGTTGTAGCGTCCATCTATGGTATGAATAGTATACATGATTGTTTTTCTTTGGCAGCTTCTGGGATGGCTACTTTGAATATTTGATGGAAAACTGTTCGAACAAGTAAGTTTCTGAATTAGTTATGTATATGCCTTTACATCATGTATTAGTTTGCAACATATGATTAGACAGAAATTCTTGATGCAGGTTTAAAATATGAACAGTAAGGAATATCTTACATTTACATGGTTGTGCAGTATGTGCAATATAACTGTAATTTTTCCTTTTTATGCCTCCGCGTATCTTCTAGACTAGAAAAACCATGTAACTGATATAGCAGATTTATAAAATCGCATTAAGTTGATTGAAATAAAATGTGGAAAATATTACGTGTCGATGTCAACGTTCATCTGTTCTTTACTAGACAAATTCCAGTATTTACAAAAAAATGGGACAAACAAAGTACCAATGCATCTACTGTGGGGAGAAACTCCTTTTACTTGTATGGGTGGGTGCTCCCACTATCTCAACCAGTGAGTGCTTGAGGTTTCTGCACATTCTCTCAACCTATTGCAATCAATGTACACTGAGATAATGTGCACATGGCTCAAGGCGCATTCCATGGATGTGATAATGGTAGCACCGATCAATACAATAAGAAAATTCCAATATTTATACTTGTTATCTAATGATCTTATCTCTTGTTTATTTTTCTGTTTCCGCAGGTCAACAAATTATGTAACATTAGTTACTGCACAGCTCATTGTCATGGCAACTCACATGGTACTTAGCAGGTTACGTCTTGTATTCACTGTCAAGCAATCAAATTTTACTATCCTGACTTTCTATTTTGCCTATAATGTAGGCTGGATTGGGACTACCTGATATCGATTCTTGGAATATGATCGAGAAAATAGCAGAGAGAAACAACTTAGGTTATAAGCAGCTTGTAAGTCAAACTAGAACATGACAGTGTCTTGATAAATGCCCGCTGTGAAATGTATTTTCTTAATAATTATTTTGAACTTCCCTCAGATCAAACTTAGAGCATTGCTCACACATCTGCAACAACTTCGTGTTGGCTATTGGGGGGTCCCTATAGGAAAAGGCCAACCACCGCCATCATATAGCATGGCTTCCCCTCGTGCGCTTGATATATCTGATGAAAGCGAACAACCTGCTGAGGCATCCGTGTTAGGCCGAAGTTGGGTGCACAGTATGTTCAGTAGGGACAGAAGCTTAAGAGCTAGCTCCTTCAATCGAGCCAGTAAGTTTAAGCTAGGCCCACCTTTCCTCCTTTGAGGACCTAAATGGAGAATATATTATCTTGACATCTCCATATGTCCCTAATATGACTTGGATAATCTCAGGTGATACAAAGGCTGGTGCTACTGCGGGCAAAACAGACCTAGCTGCTGCGCAGAAGAAAACTCAAACAAATATGAGGATCCTTAGAGGACACACAGCTGCCATTACTGCGCTTCATTGTGTCACAAGAAAAGAGGTGTGGGACCTTGTTGGTGATCGTGAAGATGCTGGATTTTTCATCAGTGGAAGCACGGATTGCACGGTTAGCTTTATGCTGTTATAATTATTTTATTTGCAATCGTTGCTTTAGCGTAATTGTTAAATTCTGGTACTAACCACACCAGTAGCGAATCATGGGCCAGAGTACATGGTTTTAGTATGATGACCTCTCCAATTTTTACCAATCTAAAGTGGAGAAACTTTTTCAAGGAAAAAGCAAGTGCATTATGACATTATCATGAAAATTAGAACCTACCAGGCAAGTTAGGAACACAAACGTTAATCAGGATGCTTTCGAAATACCAGATATGGTTTTAGTCATGTTTTTTGTTGAGAAAAACTGATATTCTCAATACTTGTCTTTGTAGAGATGCATACCACGTTTCTGCACCCGAGCTCATATGATCTCACATGAACAGTAAACTCAAAACAAATAGTAAAAATATCATTAAATCTGAAAGTTTTAGGAATCGAACATGATAATGTCTTATAACTGCATGCAAATTTTTGTGTCGAAGGACATCTGTGGTGCCCTGTGCAGGAAAAAACATGGGTGCTCCAAAAAGACTTTGCTAGGGTACCTATTTTTGTTTTGTTTGTGCAGGGAACTGCAGATGTCCTTTCATCGTGAAATTTTGCATGCAGTTAGAAGACATGAGCAGGTTGATGCCTAAGGGAATTTCTAGTCGAACCCCTAAAATTTAGCCTCCAAAGGCCCCCTCAAACCTTAACTCCTCAATTTTGAGGAGTTAAATGAAAACGGTTCCTGATACTTCATTTGGATGATGGTTGATGCAATGAAATAAGTTGCATGAAATTCATGTATTCTTTTGGAGGAGTATCCAAATTTAGAGTCCTCTGATGCAGCTGTCTCAAGAATGATGGTTGGATCTTTGGAATGCCCTTTGTAGTTACCTTTCCACCCTGTAGGACAATTCTTCCATGTCTAGTGCATGAAATCAATTGATCAAAGCATCCCTGGCCCAAGGTTTTTGAGTCGATGAGTCGACGAGTCGCTCAGGGGCGGCGACTCTAGACTAGTCGTGACTAGTCTAGACTCATGGTCGACGAGTCGACATGTGACGAGTCGACGTGAGTTATGCAGTAGGCAGTAGGTACAATAAAATTACCATACAGAAGCACTATCCTGTATCATCTCTTTTCCTTTTGCTCTGATCTGCTCTAGACCTCTAGTGCTTCTGCTTGGTAGCTCAGGGGAGGAGCAGACCAGCAGCTGCAACAACCATGGAAGGAGGGGAGGAGCAGACCACCAGCAGCAGCAACCAGAGGAGGGACGGAGCAGATATGCAGCAGCAACCAGGGGAGGAGGGGAGGAGCAGCAAGCCAGCAACCATGGGCGGCGGCGGTTGCCAAGGAAAGGGTTGGGTCAGGGGGGAGGGGGAACTGCTTCGATCTAGGTTTCCAGCAAGCAAGATTAGAGAAAAAAAATTGAGTCGTTCGACCCAGAAAACACGACGAGTCGTGACTAGTCGTGACTAGTCGCTTGAGTCGCTCGACTCATACCATGAGTCGAGTCGCTAGGCTGAGTCGCCCCTGCTAGTGTAACTCATCGACTAGTCGACGACTAGTCGCGACTAGTCGAGCGACTCGAAAACAGAGCCCTGGCCATCCTCATTCTTCACTCAAACCCAAGAGTTTCTCGGTGTCTTCATCATTGGGTGCCCTCAAGTACACCGGTCCATAAATCTCAATGACAGCTTGTGTGTATCTTCGAACGGCTTCTAGGATTGTATCTTTCCCAATGCGGACATAGTCATCAATGGTGTCAGCTGAATACCCATAGGCAAGCACTCGAACAGCCACGACATACTTCATCAATGGGCTTGCACAGTTGCACTTATCTCTCCCAATGCACTTCTCCTAAGTGTAAACCATGGATCATGCTCCTCAACAACTTTTGCAATGGTGAGGAAGAGACTTCGGTGCATCCGAAATCGCCAGCGAAAATATTTCTCTCGATAGGTTGAATTGGGTGCAAAGTAATCCTTCATAAGCTTGGCATGGCCTTCTGATCTATCGCGATTGATGTACAAGCGGCAGAACTGTGATCCTAGTCTTGGTCGCTGAAAGTATCACAAACGATCACGACAATGGCCATTTCAAAATCATCGTCTTTTTCCTCCTCCGACGAAGAGTCGTCGAAGAATATCTCCCTTAACCTCTTCATCTACACTTTGGAATATTCGATGTTGATTTTGATTGCAAAAACAATAAAACACAATCAAAAAGCCAAAAAAACGCACCTAGGCAATTTGTCGAACACTTTGCGGGTGGACAGTGGGGGCTGGGTGATGGTCTGCAGGCTCCGAGGAACAAGACTCTCCTCCAAGCCGTGCTTGCCCGTCGCCGGCCAAGCTCGCTGCGGCCATACTCTGGTTGGCGTGGCCGCGAATCCGGCGCTACCTAGCTCATCCGCGGGTGCTCAGCGGCATCTCGGTCATCCACCGGTTCCGATTTGGACGAACCCAAGCTCGGCGGTGGCCTTCTTCGTTCACTAGAGTGCGGTGGTGACGGTGAAGATATGTGGCGATTCCGGTTGTGGCGCCGCCGGCGAGCTAATCAAACATGGCCCGAGAGGTCGGTGGGGGTGTCGGCGAGCGTGCGTGCTGGCCAGCGGAGGAAAGGAAATTGGCGGAGACGGCGCCCGGGTGTAGGTAGTCGAGTGATGTGGATGCATATGAGAGGGTTTTCTGCTGAGAAGTTGCTTCGGCTGTTCGAATCTTAGGCGCCGACCTCAGCCTAATTTTTTTGAGTTAAACCGACCGAGGGTTCGGCTAGGTGTGGCTCAACTCCTAAAAAGGGTATATTTTGAGGAGTTAGCACTTTTGAGGGTTTGGCTGGATGCTCTAAAATTTAGTTTTTTTTTACTATTTTTATGATTTTCCTGTTCACGCGGGATCATATGAGCTTGGGTGCATATTTTTTTTCCTTACATAGTAAGGCTTCTGTGCGATCTACTTTTTTTGGTGTCCAGAGGATCACGCTACAAAGGATCAATATCGAAATGTATAACGCCTGCTAGTGGCTTGTAATTGTGTTCGAAAATGTGAACTGGCTGGTTATGGCCCACTGCTCACTCAGTTCACATCCAGTTTCCAGAAAAGAAACGAAAGCCAGATTAAAATTGGATTATTCCTTATCTTGTAGCCATACTTGAACAATCAACATTGTGCAGGATTGCTTGTAATCGGTTGGTATTACGTGTACTATGTTGGGTAACATCATTTGTGCTTCTGCAAACTCTTGCAAAAATACGTACATCTATCTTTGTAGCCCATGATTTTGTAAGTTTTGCAATACAGTGGTTGTTCTACTCTAAATTACTTTGTTGGGGATTGCTAAGTGCTTCTTACTAGTTGAGGGTTTCAGTAACATCTGCGCAGTGCTTGTTCATTATCTTCACCTTATTGGTCAGTGCTTATAGCTATGCTGCATTACAATGAAATCTCTTCATGAACAATTGTGCGTATGTGTGTCCTTAGTGTGGATAGTGATTGATACAGTGATTTTGCATGCAGGTAAAAGTTTGGGATCCAAGTTTGCGTGGTTCCGAACTTCGAGCAACACTTAGAGGGCATACCAGGTAGAAAATGTCATCCACATTACTCAATGGAACTGTCAGCTGTGTGAACACTGCATTTAAACTTAATTTTATATCCTACTCCCTCCGCCCCAAAATAAGTGTCGCTGATTTAGTACAACTTTGTACTAAAGTTGTACCAAGTCAGCGGAACTTATTTTGGGATGGAGGGAGTATCATAGTTGGGTGTATAGTAATCTGACTAACTAATTACAATTGCTCATCCGAGACACTGTATAATGCAAGCATACAGTTGACTTTTCTCAGTATACATGTTCAAGCATGTATCATTGTTACTGTTATTTGGAGAGTCTTTTGCATAACGCAACTTGAACCATCTTGCAAATGCATGGGCATGGGGTTGCATGTAATAGTTGCATACCCTATATCTGCCCTTTCAAGCATGGTTCCTTTATGTCTAAAGTTCAACCAAGGAATGTGATAGCCTTTTTTTCCTTTTCCTTTTGGCCGAGCATTGGATCAGTTCTACACTTGTTTTCGTACGACGAAAAAAGAATATTCATGCATTGGTTCTGGGAGGAGTGTTGTTCGTGCTCTCATCCATAAAGTTGTTGAGAATCATAGGACAACAGTAACATTAATTGTAAAGTGTTGTAAGGTCTTTTGTGGTCTATGGCTGATGCGTTCGCAGTAGTGGTTATCAACAGACTAGTCATAGACCTTCAAGTACTTTTGATTGGTTTTTTGTCTTTCTAGCAGCATCGTAAAGTATTCAGGGTCTTTAACTTGCCATGCTGATTTGGCTACTCAAATTCAGTCTAGATTAACTGCTGTCCACTTAAATTCTTGCAGGACAGTTCGGGCTATTAGTTCAGATCGTGGCAAAATAGTTTCTGGAGGTGATGATCAATCTGTCATAGTCTGGGATAAGCAAGCTTTTAAGCTTCTGGAAGAACTGAAGGGCCATGATGCACCGGTTAGCTTCTTCATCAATAGTAGTAACTTACATATCATTGTCTCCATATCTAACCCTTACTAAGCATGTTCATGCACAATTGACATTGATATAGGTCACTTCTGTGCGGATGCTCTCAGGAGAACGTGTTCTTACTGCATCTCATGATGGCACGGTGAAGATGTGGGATGTCCGGACTGATACTTGTGTTGCTACTGTGGGTCGTTGTCAAAGTGCAGTTCTCTGTATGGAATACGATGACTCGACTGGAATTCTGGCAGCTGCTGGGAGAGATGTGTATGTACTTTTTTTAACTTGGAAATGTTTTTAGTGCTTTAAACTAATATTTACTTGAACAACTTTTGTTCCATTCTAATCTGAAAGGTCATTTCATCAGGGTGGCGCATGTCTGGGATATTCGTTCAAGTAAGCAGATGTTCAAGCTTCAAGGGCATACAAAGTGGGTAAGGTAATGCCTCTGTTGGACTGTTGAGCATTCACATTCTCCTGCGCTGGCGATTTCGACCAGTAATTTACAGATGCTGACACAAATTTTGGTTAATTATAGATCAATGAGGATGACTGGGGAAACGATAATAACTGGGAGTGATGATTGGACAGCTAGGGTGTGGTCTCTTACACGGGGAACATGTGATGCTGTATTAGCATGCCATGCTGGTCCCATACTTTGTGTTGAATACTCACCTTCGGATAAAGGAATTATCACTGGTATGTGACCCATTGCTTGTTTTTAAAGTTAGGTGGGAGGTCTGCCAAATCATATCGAGTGTCTATTCACGATTAAAGAATTCTCTCCATGTCACATGTATCTGATCCTTAATTAATATGCCAGGTTCCTCTGACGGGCTTATACGTTTTTGGGAAAACGAAGGTGATGCATTATGGATTGTGAAAATTGCTTCATCTGTTTTTCTGTATTTACTCTTTTGTACCTTATTTAGGAAAGTTAATGTGTTTGCATTATTTGTACAAAAAGGACACATAGCATTTATCACTAGAGGATACTGAGCTGTGTTACAGCACGAGTTTGCTTAATGACTGATCCACATTGTTCCAGTAATTACCCATGTGATGGTGGATGCAAAGTTACATAAAATTGGAAATAGTTCCGTGTTATTAGCGGCGGCAGTCCTATGCACTGTATGATTGACTGAACAAGTTATTCAGCATGTCTAGTTTGCAGTTTAGCATCAATGCAATGTGTCATTGACTTCGATGACATGTTAGTAGTTTTCGTAATGAGCACTTAGCACCAATCAGTGTATTGTGGACCTTTTAGTACCTGTGGCTGCATATCTACTGGAACCCGCATACTTATTGGATATGTGGAACCCTTTTGGCTTGGACACCATAACAACATGAAAATTTACCAAAAAAGGAAGAAAAGAAAGATAGACTACTGTGTCAAGTTATATGTTCAATCTTTATAATTTACGAGCCGCTCCTCTTACCTTTAACTGATCTGTTGATGGTAGCCTCATTTCATCATTTTATGGTTTCAAATTTATATTATTATTTTATGAACAAACACTTGTATAGGGAAAAATAAATATAATGTTAATGTGGCAGAAACTGGTGAATGGAACTCAGGACATTTCATTTTTATTGTAGGAGGCATAAAATGTGTTAAGAATCTGACGCTTCACTCGGCATCGGTTCTGTCCATTAGTGCTGGTGATCACTGGCTTGGAATTGGTGCTGCTGATAATTCTATGTCTCTTTTCCATCGACCACAAGAACGATTCGGAAGTTTCTCAAATACAGGATCAAAAGTTGCAGGATGGCAGCTTTATAGAACTCCCCAGAAAACGTCTGCAGTGGTAATACATCTCATTGCTTTGTTTAATTCATTCCTTCCTAGCATGTTTGCAATATTGATCAATGAGAGGCCTGTATTGATTTCTATTGTGGTCATAGCATGATAGCAAGTAGGGCAATGGGGTAGGCACGTAACAATCACACACTAGAAATTCAGCACATAGATGATAGATACCTTCCCCCACTTTTGTTAACTTCTTTGTACGTAACAAGCAAAGCTGCCTGCTTTTAGCAAGGATGCTTTGTACCACATCTGTATTTTGTTCATACTTATCTTTTGATAAACAATTACTATTCATACTTGACGTCTGCTCCGTGATGTTCCTGGCACAACTATGTGTTTGATTAATGTACGACTGGACCAATTGTTCCCAAGCATGACTGTAGATAGTCATACTATATGCATATGATGTTCCAAGGCACGTCATAAAATCACCTTTTTTGTAAGCATCATTATAAGTTTGTAGTATGTCCAAGATGCCATGTTAACATTCATGGTTGAACAAATGGTCGTCCATTCTAAATCCTCAATTTTCCTTGTGACAGGTGAGATGTATAGCATCGGACCTGGATAGGAAAAGAATATGCAGTGGTGGCCGGAATGGACTTCTTAGGCTGTGGGATGCTACCACAAGTATCTAAGACATTACTAGGATATATATGTTCATGTAAAGAAATGTCAATTGCCCTGTGATGTTGTATGTCATTTTCTGTTTTTGGTCGTCTTGTAGAAATAAGAGAGAAACTCTATTTGTTCCATCCATTATGTAATCTCAAAAGCTGTTTTGATGTCTCGTGTGAAATTTTGTCTATAATTTTAAGGTCTAGGTGACCCCTAGCCTGCCAGGTAATCCCTCCGTTCACAAATATAAGATGTTTTGCATATTTTAATACGGACAACATTCAGACTGATATGAGTGAAAAAACACACTATCTTTTTTGACCATGAAAACTGCAGGGCTCACCTCACATCATATTTTCTTTATTAATAAAAGAAAGGCAGTAGCATATTCACAGGAAAGAACAGTTCCACCAGCAGTGAAAAAAAGGAAAGTAAACATTAATTATACATATACTAAACCTGGCCAGGTTTAGTTTACCAGGTTTTTTTTTTTGACTTTTTCCTATCAGTAAAATTCGGGCCAATAGGGTAGTGACGCGTTAATTTGTGGGGGAGCTGGCGGGGTGCGCTTCTGGGTGCGTTTGGTTTGTTACGTCCGTATAGTCGGTGGCCGCTGAAATTGCTAGCCCTACTCGCTTCGAGAGAGACCTCGTTGATGTCAAGGCCACCACGGCACCCCCGAACAAGACTATAAATACTCTCCTTCGCTCTGCCTCACGTTCCTCCCCGCTCCACAGCCGAGCTCCCGTTCCCTTCTCCGTCTCCTCTTTGCCCGCGTCCCGCTCGAAACCCACACGCACTCATCTTCCACATCCGTGTGCTCCGCTGTGATGTTGCCGACGGTAGTTTGCACCGTGGCTATGCTCCCCAGGCGTCGCCTGCCCCGACGGCCCGAGGGTCCTTACGCGTCAGGCCGCCTTGGCTGGAGGTGAGGAGCTGCCATGACCGTGGATCCCCCTACCTCCTCTGCTCCTTCTAACCTCTTCTACCACTCCACTGATGTGCTCCATGCTGCTCTCGCGACAGAGATGACGGTCAACCCTTGGTTGCACGGCGCGGTGGCCAGCCATGGGACTGGACGGTACTGTCGCCGGCGCTCTGCACCTTCCGCTGGTATCTCCTGTATGTGCCTACATCACTCCATGTCCCATGTCCCTGCTACAGCCGGTGGACCTCCACATGTTGGACGAGAACAAGGGCACTGAAGACCATGGCCAGTCCCGTGAGGCCGTGACACCATGCCTCTCCCACCTCTTTCGGTGGCTTTCTACTGCCCCTGCGCTGGGAGCTCAACATGGAGGGACTCGCCATGGATCGAGCATCGTCTGGAGTCTGGACGCAACTGCCCACTGCCCTGCAAGTTGACTGTTCCAACGCCCACCAAGTGTTTGATGTAATGTTTGGACGGCTGTAGGTAAAAGAAAATCAGTTTTATCCAGAAACTATGTTGCTATACTCCTAATTTTGTGTTCTTCCAAGAGATTTGACTTCACCATTAATTGAGGGAAAGGACTTTCCTCAACCATGCACCATATATTGTTTCCGCATTCATTTTTCTCTTTATTAACCTAGTTATTCTCTTATTACCATGTTTATGGTTTCCGCTGCAAAGTTTGATGACATGTTTCCTGTTATAGTGTTGATGATAAGTCATCGAAGGTTATACGTGTGTTCCATCCCAAGCACAATTCTTTTTCTTGACATGTTCCTTTTGTGATATGTCTACTTATGCAATGAGGCTTAGCTTGCTACTGGTGGATTGCAGCTTGGAAATATGTTGAAAGAGAGCTTTACTATCAGGAGGCCCTCCATAGGAAATAGGATGCAGTGTAAAATGGACTGTGCCTTAACCCTTGTTTGGCATGAACTTCATGGATGAGGCAATTGAGCTCTACACAACAAGCATATTTAATACATCAAGGTTGTTAGGCACAATTGTTCATGTAGAACCATCTGTTAAACTTACTATGACTTCCTTGTGCTCCATGGAATCTTCCTTGTGCTCTG